ATTCTGTTGTTTCTTCTGCAGGTTTCCAGCGCCTGACACCCGCAGACCCACCGACGGCACTGTCTACAGACGGACCGAGGATGACGGAACGGCTTTCATCTTCTTGTCCTTCGTCTTCTTCTCGGGAGGGGCCACGCTCGTTAGGCCATTTACATATTGTCCTGGGGTCTACAGGAAGCCCATTTATGTCCCGCCTGGGGGCACGGCGACGAGGACCCACTCTAAAACTGTTAGGTTTCGATAGCCTGCCCCTTTTTGTTGTTGACCAAGTTAGTTCCTACGCTGTGGCTGGTGGCCGCAGACACGAGCCGGGGTGTGACTACTAGTTGTACTGGGGTCCTTCCTGATGCTCGTGGGCTGCGGCACGCTGACAGTCGTCGGACATTTTTCAATCTCTGGGGTCTAGGTTCATTACTGTAGGTTCTCGTCGGTAATTGTTAATTATCCCGGAAGGTTTTATATTGTTCTTGTTGTTTGCACTACGAGGAGGATGGAGGTCAGCCACGACGGCTGATTTTTTTTCACGGCGTGGGGGGGGCGTAGTGACATAGAATCACTTAGCAGCATAGCACTGGTTGCTGGCAGGGAAGGGTATCTGCAGTTACAGCAGCCCTGACTTACAGCAGGTCACTTGATAGACCAGAGAGAGGGATGTAGGGGAAAGGTTACAGAAGGGGCACATCGAGAACCTGCTAGTAGGTTCCAGAAGGGGGGCATGGCCGGGACGGAGTCAGGCCACACTGACAGGAAAAGAGGGGCCCCAGGAGGGGACCTCAGGGCAGGCGAGAATTATACCATTGAACCACCGATGCCACATACTCCTTGAGTTTTTACGTGAGATAGATGAATACTGATCTTTTTTCAGTCGCACAAAATTGAGTGTTCTCTTTGTGTATTTGGCTTCTGACTTTTAACATTTTCATGAACATCCGAAGATGATAGTGGGTGTTTTGTTCGATTAGCTGCAAATGTATGCTTTAATATGTTGTTTAGCATGATAAAAGCGCATCAGCCAGGTATCAAACCCGGCCCTCCCACGAGGCAGGCAAGAATTCTCCCACTGAACCACCAATGCCACATACTCCATGAGTTTTTTTACGTCAGATGCATGAATACTGATCTTCTTTCAGTCGTGTGGAAGCATCTTCTCTGTGTATATTTGGCTTTTGACTTTTCCATTTTTCATGAATATCCGAATATGATGCTGGAGTTAATTGATTATATGCAAATTATATTATTGGGATGTTGCTAAAAACTATTTCTTCACCTGTTATGATGAATAGCTGGAAACTATTTTGACCAGAGAAATAATTTGTCACTACTCATCTCCAATACTAGTTATTGAACTGGGTTGGTACAATTACTGCGACCGAATTTTTCCCAGCTGAAAGCGGCCTCAAGATATTGGTTGCCACTAGCATACTAGGAAATGAAGTGGGTGTGATTAATATTCTTCAATAACATGGAACGTAATATTTTTCGATACTACTAAATGTGCATTAAATCTTTACAATGTTACATATCGTGATAAAAGCAAAAATAAATATTCTAAAAAGTGCATCGGCCGGGAATCGAACCCGGGCCTCCCGCGTGGCAGGCGAGAATTCTACCACTGAACCACCGATGCTTCACACTTCCCAGCTGTTTTTATATGACATTCATGAATACTGATCTTTCAGTCCTGTGCAAGTTTTATCTGGAAATGTGGCTTTTGGCTTTTTCTTTAAAATCTGATTCTTATTGTGCAACTTTTTCTACGATCTGCTATTTATGACGAACCTCCTGAAAATATGTATGAGTTTTTTTGTACCACAGGTACCAGTCACCAATGAAGGATTGGTTCTACCCTGTGCCAACACAGACTAAAATAAGAAAATGGACTTTGACTAATCATCATTATTATGGATGCAATTTTTTTCCTGGCGTGATGAATGTTGGCATTATATGCTATTCCACACCTAATCGGGGCCCTTGTTAATAGCGCGTGACCGAGGAATGCATGTCATGGAGGCCCCTGATCACTAGGGGTCTCCATCTGCAACTACCGAAATCAGTCAATACTGTAAAAACCCTGAAAAACGTTTTCCAATGGAAATTCTCTTCTACATCTAGAAAACATATAAACGTGAATAACAATCATTAGATTAAAATAGATACCACATTATTCACACTAATAGCAGTGCAGCAAAGATAAATGCTATTAAATTAATTGTTGTAATAAAATACCAAAAAATGTGCATCGGCCGGGAATCGAACCCGGGCCTCCCGCGTGGCAGGCGAGAATTCTACCACTGAACCACCGATGCCTTGAGAGATTATGCGCAAACCATTTAAGAAATACTTCAGCAATCGGAGTATGCGGTCATGTGTTTGGAGGCATTCCTTTCTACATCTGCGAATAATTTGCTCAGCAGTGTGTTCAGTCAAGACTCCACTTCCAGTGAGGACAGTGAGTGTTGCGCAGTTCTATACATGCGGAATGTCACCAATTCTCTTCATGGGATGCTATGTCCATAGCAAGTAAAACAATGGTCAAAAATATCCTTTCACTATCAGTCCAGATTTCTTTTTTACATTATAACGTATGATCGGGTATTTTATACAAATTTCATCAAAACACAAATTGCATCATGATACTCCATTGTAAAAACCCCTTCATGACCTAGTTTTATGCGGTTAAGCTGATGCCCTTCTTTGACCACCTTTGAAACGTGATTACCTTTTAATCTCGTCTCAAAGCCCTTCTTTGAGTATTGAAACAATTCCAAAAGATGTGTTTAAATTAAATGCATTACTATTGACTGATGAACTGGACAAGTTTCGAATTCAAAAATAAGTTTGTTAATTTTTCTTGTTTCCTAGCCTAAATGTAACAATGGCTTGTGATTTGCATGCAGTTTTCATTTATTGAATAATAATCTCAATCGTTACACTCCTTGGCTCCACCGTGCGATAGTCGCGGTGGTGTCTAAATCCCATCCCACCAGCTGCGAGGACAGAAGGAAGCCTCGGCCAGCATTTGCTGTCCCTGGAGTGACGAGATACATTGTTTATAAAAGTTTTGCAATGCCCTGGACCGAAAGCAGCCTTCTTACTCCCAAACGGAGTAACGTCAAGCTCATAACCACAGAAGTCACTTGTTCAGTAAACACCAACACACACTGTGACGTTATCCTAAAACGTGCTGTATGGATAGAAAGGGCTCCCCCACGCGGTGTCTAAGCGTGTGTATTGTGTTTAACATACTTCAACACGCAGCTTGGTAAGGGGCCGCGTCGCAAGGGGGTGGACGAGAGAAGGAGTGGTTCTCAGGCCCGGTTCAGAGGTCACTTTGCCACTGATGTTCGCCGTGGCCAGGAGACAAAACTCTGGGAGCCGAGTGTATAAGTGCAGTATGCTCACCACTGATTTAAATCCATACATGGGACATAACTGTGCAATTATTGATCGCGTCTTCTTCTCTTATCCGGAGTTTTTCCTAGACACTCCAAATTGCCGGCCATGATAAAACACAAAAATACCACAAACTTTTGGATATGCATCACAGGCAGGTTCTCGCATAAAATGTTATAAATGTTCAGTCAGAAAATTAATTACTGTGATTCAGAAAATGTAACTTTATAAAAATTTCAATCTACATACTGTAGTTTCATTCCTTTTCTTTAACACATTTTAGATTTTCATATGTATGTCTTTCTGTTTTGAATCTCCATCATTGCTGCCTGAAGCACGGGTCTCCTTGCAGATTTGTAGTTGAGTGCCAGTCGCTGGGCTGTTCTCCACACATCAGATGCAGGAGCCATTCATATTGCACTTGGCGTGCGTGCACACCACGCACAACCCACCCCACACGTGTTCCTCTCGAGGCCACTTCCTTGTACACATTGAGCCCCCTTCATAAAGGTCAGGGCTAACCGACACCAGCACGTCCCACAGGCAAGCAGATGTTCTGCCACAGTTGTACACCCGCAGCTAGGGCCACTCACTACCTAAACTGAACTTTACTTCAATATTCGTGTGTGTTGGATGTGTGCATGTATGCGTCATGTACTAACTCGGTAGTATGGCGGATAGCGTGCTGCGCTATGAGCCTGGCGGCCAGAATTCGATTCTTCCTCACGGCCGACACCACTGACGATTTTCTAAACTGGTCCTGCCCCCCCCCCCCCCACTTAGGTCGACTCAGCCTCAAATTAGTATTTGAATGCGGTGCGTAAAAAAACACCGCCACGAGAGAGCCAAAGGTGGTCCGACATGGTGCTGGCCACCCACCTCCTCGTGTGCCGTGCCGGTTTTCATAGGTGCTTGCTAATAGAACTGGCCCTAAAAGTCAGTTAAGGTTAGACGGGGATCTTTGTTTTGTGTTAGGTGGGTGTACAGGGTGGTCCAGATGTAATGTGACCCCCAATTAATTGACCCCCATTATTTTTTTCCCATTGCTTTTTGGTTTCTGTGTTCACTCCTATTGGTATACAACATATTAAGCTTTAGAGAATTACATTAGGGTCACGTGACATCTGGACCACGCTTTATACTGTACGTGCATGTGTAGAATAGTAATTTAGCCATTTATCCAAGATAGCCATATAACTCTTTTTCTGGAGGGTCTTGTGTTGTTTTTATATTCTGACATGTTTTTGGCCAATGAATGAGTTTGTACAATTTTAAGGAATCCGGAGCACATGGAAAAAATGCGTCGCGTGTGCGTGTGGTTTTTGTGTTGGGAGTGTGTTTGGTGTAATTTGTTTTTATGCCTGTTTTGGTTGTACTGTATTATGTATGTTGTGTGTGTTGGGTGTAACATGTGTGTATTTTGTGTGCATATATCGTGTTGTGTGTACACAGTTACGTTTGTACATGTGCATGTGTGTGGTGGGTGGGTACATATTTACATGTGGGGGTGTCAGTCAAAAAGTCATTCGTTCTGGTAATTTACTGATAAAGGGGAAATGGGAAGCATCCCCGTCCAGTACCAGGTTGGTTCACCCCGCACAGCGACCCGTCAGAGCTACAGACATATTGTCTGCTGATAGTCATCTCTTCAAACTAATTGCGGCTATTATCGAGGTGGAAGTCTTTATCAGACCGTGCTTTCTTTTTTTCGTATCAGCCCGAAGCTGCGATGCCGACGAAGGAGGACGTGAAGACGTGGATCTGTCAGGATGTAGCCAACTTTCTTGTGCAGGTATTGCGCTGGTGCTTTGTCTTACATTTCATTCACGAATGCCGTGTTGTGTGTGCTGCGTGTCTGTCTGTGTGCACGTGGCAAGGCTGTAGAGCAGTGTTACACAGCCGTGTTGAAAACTTTTTTTTATTATTGTTCTGTATTTTTATTGGCTGCTTATGATGTAACATCTCTCCGAAGATAATCAAAGTGAACTGAACTATGGACTCGTGGACAACCACCCTCAACCCTCAAATAATTTTCAAGGACAACCCTGCACCAAATACATATTTTATTCAAATTAAACCCACAGTCAACTAAAAGAGCTGAAGAATAGTAATAACAAAAATAATCACTAGACTTTTTATTGACGAATCTGAATATTATGGGCAGTAATTTGTTTTGTTTTGTGAAAGACTGTAGAATCTGCGATAGCTCGGCAGACCACATTCCATGGCCTTGCGGACCACCGGTGGTCTGTGCAGCGCCACCGGTGGTCTGTGCACTGCCACTGCTGGTCTGTGCAGCGCCACCGGTGGTCTGTGCAGCGCCACCGGTGGTCTGTGCACTGCCACTGCTGGTCTGTGCAGCGCCACCGGTGGTTTGTGCAGCGCCACCGGTGGTCTGTGCAGCGCAACCGGTGGTCTGTGCAGCGCCACCGGTGGTCAGTGCACCGCAGGTTGGGACCCCGCTGCTGTAAAAAAATCATCAGTGCCATAATGAGCACCGGGAATGCGTGGGATGGTGGCACAGTGGGGATGCCTCCATCTAGCAGTGGATTGGTCATGTCTGATAATGATGACGACTCAAATTGTTCATGAAGAGATGTAAAGTGTAATGTTTGCACAAGTTACTTTGGCAGTTGCGTGTGTAGTGCTCGACTTAACACGACAGCTTCTTGTTTTTCTCTCTCTTTATTTCGCTAATACCGATCAACATTCCTCCAGCTAACACCAATCAACATTCCTCCCTCGCGCTCGCCGCTCGCTCGCCACATTCTCGCTTGCTCCGCGTCTCTCCTCCGTCGACTCTCTTCTCCACTCTCTCCATCACAGTTCAGCCGCTCTTTATCGGCTCCCCCGTCACACTCAGCCGTATCTCTATCGGCTTCTCCGCCACACTCCAGGCGCTTTCTGCTGGCTTCGCCGTCACACTCCAGCCACTTCTGCTGGCTTCTCCGTCGCTACCTTATACCTCTCCACTGCTACCCTATACTTCTCCACTGCTACCCTACATTTCTCCACTGCTACCCTATACTTCTCCACTGCTTCTGGCTCCGCTGCTTCAGCTCCAACATCCTTCTTCTCCCAGGCGCGAACTCACGTCTCCTTCAAAACCCCCTCTCTTTATCCCCAAGCCAATTAATCTCCAATTAATCGGTGGCATCCCCCGCGACGCCCCTCGCCCCCCAGGCCCCGCTGGCACCTGCCACGTTTTCCAGACAACACGGCGCCACTTAGCGACAACAACAACTTCCTGTAGATTTGAAGCTTTCGTGACTGCAATGATTCATATTCTTAGGTTTTTTCGGTAAAGTCACGTAGGTAAAAAACATTAAAAAGTAAAATAAAATAAAAATCACGACGTTTCGGAGGCAACACAAGCTTCCGTCTTCAGGCGGTACCGTCACAGCCACGACAGCTGTATCAAGTAAATGAGAGATTGCAGAAGCCACCACTCCGTTTATATAATGGTTGGAGGAGGTGGTGGATCAAGGGCCGCATACTTTTATTAATATGGTAAGGTGAGGCTTAAGACTAAGAATAGACTGCATAACAAAGGCTGAGCCTTTGTTATGGAGAGGTGCGGTTTGTGACTCAACCTGTAACAGGGAGACCACCACTAGACATGGTAAAACTGTGATGGTTGTCTGTCAAATAAGATTGGCAACAGCTTGGCGGATAGTTTCTCCCACCATATAGAAACAGCCACATGAAACTCCGACCAAAACTATCACGTTGCCATACATAGCAGGCGTGACCAAAAAGATCTCCAAAATTCTAAACAAACATAAGATCCAAGTCCGATTCAGTACAGTGCATAAAATCCGTGATTTGATTCCATCTGTGAAGGATGTCGTTCCTGACTTACAGTATCCTGGAGTCTACAAATTGAGTTGCATTTGTGGTGATTGCTACATTGGAGAAACGAAACGTCATGTTTCTGATCGTGTCCGCGAGCACAAGTCAGATCTGAAACACGGCAGAACTGATTCTTCGGCCGTTGCCGATCATTGCTACAACTCGGTGGGCTCTCATGAAATTGTATTTTCCGAGACCAAGGTTCTCTGCAAACCTCCTGGCTACCATCAAAGGTTTGTACACGAAGCCATACAAATATACAAACACAGACATAATTTCAACCGTGATGACGGTTACAAACTGAGTAATCATTGGAAAGATGTGATTAACCATGCAAAAAAGATTTAACTACACTTATTTGCCAATCTTATTTGACAGACAACCATCACAGTTTTACCATGTCTAGTGGTGGTCTCCCTGTTACAGGTTGAGTCACAAACCGCACCTCTCCATAACAAAGGCTCAGCCTTTGTTATGCAGTCTATTCTTAGTCTTAAGCCTCACCTTACCATATTAATAAAAGTATGCGGCCCTTGCTCCACCACCTCCTCCAACCATTATATAAACGGAGTGGTGGCTTCTGCAATCTCTCATTTACTTGATACAGCTGTCGTGGCTGTGACGGTACCACCTGAAGACGGAAGCTTGTGTTGCCTCCGAAACGTCGTGATTTTTATTTTATTTTACTTTTAATGTTTTTTACCTACGTGACTTTACCGAAAAAACCTAAGAATATAACAACTTCCTGGCCAATCAGCTCCCACTGTACTCTGCATGCGCGTACACCCACTCCTGCGTGTGGTGCGTATTTCAGGCACTACATCACCCCCCCCCCTCCCCATGTTTAAAAAATTAGCCGTCCCGGCTAAACATAACGCGTCACACGGCAACACACAACAACCCTCATATACATAGATACACGATACCCCCCTCGACAACGCAACACAACTACTACGCCACAGAATGTCAAGAAAAAGTCACTCTTCGGGAGCGGGTTTCCGCAGCCGGTACATCACCCCAGCCTGGGTGAACAGGGGACAAGGGCGGGGAGCATCCCTCCGTGGGCGCAGGGCAGCGTCCTGCCCGTGACGTGCGCCTCTCCTCATAACATCGGCCGCCCGCTGGCGAGACCGTATTCCGTTCCCATGCGTCCCGGGGCGGCACCTGACTCAAAAACGGTGATCCTGCAGACATACGGGGGGTAAACTGCTGAGGTGCGTTCTCACACCGCCACACAACACGCTCGTCGGACACATCCAATACAGGCCGCTCCGGGATGGGAGATGACGCATCATAAGGCGATGCATATTTCTTCAACCGCGATGGGTAAACATGCCACAATCGACGATCGCACCAAATCCGTACACTCTGGTCCCTTCGAACCTCCACAATTTCAACAGGACCCTGCCAGGGCCGATGGAATTTCGGTGATGTGCCCACTGGCACCATAGGACAATGCAACCAAGCCCTGTCTCCCACTTGCCATGGCTCCCGCGGAGGCTGTGTACCGTGCAAGTGCTCATTATCCGCCTGCCTCCGCTCCGTATTACCCAGTGAGGCCTCTCTAGCCTCCTTCAGACGGTCCAATGCCACTTGCATGGGGGTAGGCACCGCTGACAACTTCCCCTTTGGTTTGAAACCTAGCTTGACCAGGGCCGGGGACTCCGGTTCTCAACCGTACATTAAATAGAAGGGTGAATACCCCGTTGAGGCATGCGGGGCCAATCTGTAAGCGGCCAGAGTCGCTGGAACATATAGATCCCAATCAGTTTGTGGCGAATTAACCTGCTGGCACAACATAGACGTCAGCATCCTATGAAGACGTTCAACCATCTCGTCGGTTTGCGTGTGGTACGAGGACGTCTGGATTTTTTTTGTACCCAATGCGTCACACACTTATTTGAACAGGCGGGAATAAAAAAAATTTGCCCTGATCAGTAAGCAGGTGCTCCGGGGCACCCTTATCAAAAACGTAACCCTGCAGGAAGGCCTCCACTATCGATCCTGCCGATTGGTCTACCAGTGGCCATACCATAGGCCACCGAGTGAGGTACCCAACACCCACCAGCAAATATTTGTGACCCCGTGGGGTAACGGGGAACGGCCCCAAAATATCCAGGCCGACAATTTCGTTTACCCGTGAAACTCGTATCGATTACAACGGTAATCGATATGGTTGCACCGGCGCCTTCCGCCGTGCGCACTCGTGACAGGCCTTAACGTACAAATCAACCTTGTTCTGCATCCCCGGTCAGTAAAAATCGTTACTCAAGGTCAATGCGGTTTTCTTCTCACTCAAATGCATAAAATGCTCGTGTGCATCGTGAATAAGTTTTCCCCTCAATCACAACAGTACCACAATGCAATTTTTTTGCAACACGACATCCCACCTCACTAGGAGATCGTCTATGAGCCAAAGGAAGGGCCGATCTTCTGACCCTTTAGAACGGGATCTGGTTAGTGAAGAATCGTTCACCTGTAAGCGTGCCCAACAATCCCATGATAATCCCAGTAACCCGGGCTCTTTAGCAGGGGCCCCATCAATTGGGCCCGAATCAGCTGCAGCGGCCATGGCCGGAATGCCCTGCAGCGGTGGACTGCAGCGCAGCGATCCTTTGGTACATCTACATGAGCCTAACGGCTGAGGCAATCGGGACAGAGCGTCTGCATGGACATGGCGCGTCCCTTTACTGTGTTGTACTGTAAAGGAGTATCCCTGCAGAACCTCAAGCCAACGGGCCATTTGACCTGATGGTTGGTCAATCTGCAAGGAGTACTGCAGCACCGCGTGGTCAGTGCGGACCAAGAAATCCCTACCGTGCCAATATGGTCGATACAACTGCACGAAGTGTACAATCGCCAACAATTCTCTGTGCGTTACACAATATTTTTGCTCCGCCGGGGGACAGCACACGACTGCCGTATGCAACGACTCTTTCCACTCCATCGATTGTCTGCGACAAAACAGCGCCTATGCCCGTATCACTGGCATCGGTGTCAAGAACAAACATCTCTCCAAAATTCGGATATTTGAGCGGCGGTGCGTCTGCTAAAGCGTCCCGAAGCGTTTCAAACGAACGCTGTTCCTCGTCACCCCATAGGAACTTTTTACCCTCAGCAGTCAGTGTATGAAGTGGCCTCTCAATCGTAGCAAAATCCTTGACCAATCGACGGTAGTACGAGGCAAATCCCACAAAGCTACGCACCTCCGACACCGTTACTGGCACTGGCCACGTGCATACACAACTCGGGTTAGTGGCGACTCCCGCCGCGCTGACAACATGACCCAAATACTTGACAGACGTTCTCAACAAATGGCATTTTTGGGGTTTAAATTTCAAATTGGCATCCGGTACCCGGCCAAACACAGCTAGCAACCGTTGCAAATGCCCCTCAAAATCCTTACTGAACACAATGACGTCGTCAAGGTATATCAAACATGACTCCCACTGCAATCCAGACAATACAAGTTCCATTAATCGCTGGAAGGTGGCTGGTGCAGAGTTCAGCCCCATCGTAAGCACGTTAAAATGGAACAATCCCTGCGGTGTTCGAAAGGCCGTCTTTGGCTTAGATTCTTCGTCCAGGGGCAATTGCCAAAAGCCCGACAAGAGGTCAAGAGTCGAGAAAAATTTCGCGTCAGACAAGGCGTCCAATGAGTCATCAATGCGCGGGAGCGGGTACACGTCCGCCACCGAAATCTTATTAAGTTTACGATAATCGACACAAAATCGCAGGGAACCATCACGTTTTTTAACCAGTACAATTGGAGCCCCCCACAGGGCTGGAAGAAGGAGAGACAATATTCTGTTGCAACAAGTCGTCCATCATTTTCCGAATACAATCCTCTCCAGCGGGCTCACAAGGTGAGAATTTAAGCGAATCGGAGGTGCATCTCTAGTATCAATGTGATGTCTCAATAGGGACGTGCGACCGACATCATATTTCCCCCTGCTGAATACGTCCTTAAATTCCAAAAGCAGCTTACGAAGACGCGACCGCTGCTCGGGTTTCAAATCATCATTACATTCGTACAAATCCCAGAACCCGCCCGGTTCCCCAACACACTACGGCAGCGCATTTCCCTCGCCCGCTGCCAAGCACGCATCCCCATCCGAGTTATGCACAGCCGACGCATGCCCTAACGTAGTCCCTCCCTGAATAACAACTGACTCGTGCCCCGTATTAACAATCTGTATAAGGAGGGCGTCCGTGCCACGGCGTTTGACGGCGACAACAATATACCTTCCCCCAGGTTATCCAATGGCAGGCCCTTTTTCAAGCACAACGGCACGAGCATCTGCGTCGCAGGCGGAACACGCACTGTGCGACTAACCACCGCCTGCACCACGGCGTTTACATGAGCGAATTTAGATGGAGTCCCCAAAAATTTAAGGCATTTCCCCGATGGCAATTCCAAACATCCCCTCTCTATTGAGATCTTAAGAGGCATCCTTCATAAAAAATCTGTGCCCAACAAACATGGCACGGCTAGAGCAGTCGAAACCAAAATATATCCCGTTACACACACCTCCCCAATTTGAATTGTTGCGAGCACGCGACCCAAAATTCCCAAACTGCCCCCATTTGCCGCTATACACGGGCCATCCACTGGTTCCAAAGCCTGGGGTGAGGTTGGCAACGAACAAAAAGTTTGCAAGGAAATGAGGGTCGCTGAAGCCCCCGTATCGACAATTACTCTAATCTGTACCCCTTGAACAAGCACCATCACATCCGATGAACCCGGCGCGGCACCCAAAACGTGATGAACCAACGCGCCCCATACAGCATTACCGTGTGATTCGTACGAAGGGGGATTTACAGTGTGTGATGTCGCGGATGGGTGATGTGAAGGATGCGGCCATGTATTAAATGTGTCACGACTCGCCTGTTGGTCCCGGAATGGGGAGAGTCTGTGATCATAGTCTCCTGTCGCCCTTGGGAAGACGCCTCTCCGTCTCCAGCAGTCCCGTGCGAAGTGTCCTCGACGTAGCACGTCCGCAGGGCGCCACCCCCGTATGTCTCGGGGCAGCGAGGCAGGCTCGCGAGTGGCCGTGCGGCCGCTGCTGCCAGCAACCCCGGTTCCTCCAACTTTGATGGGCCCCCGGCCGCACCAGCACACACCACCAGAGGCTGTGCCATCACCTGCCGCTGGTTCGTCACGAAAATCCAGGTTGGTCTGGATGTTCTTGGCGATCTGCAAAGACGACCCGTCGTCGTCGCTGTTGCTGGGAAGCGAAAAGATGACCCGTAGCTCCTTCGCCATCAGCAACAGCTTCTCCTGGGCCAAGGAGTCAAGGGCGGCATGGTTCATCGCCGGGTAAGCCGCTTGGCCGAGGGTCAACAGTGTACTGCGGTACGCGAGGGGAGTTCCATCTCCGCCCGCTTTCTCAACTGAAACTTGCACTTGGCGACCGATCGCGGCTCGTAAATGTCTTGCATTGCCGCGAATGCCTCCGTCAATAATGAGCGAACTTCCTCAGAGAAGCCGTAGAATGCCACCAGTGCATCGTCATCCAGGGCCGTCGGTAGGGCCCGTAACGCATCACTTTCTGTCCAACCGAGTGACTCGTACGCTGCTCGGAAACGTCGCGTAAATGCTGTCCAGTCGCCGACTTTTGTCTCAAACCGTTCCACGTGCAGCCGGCGTCGTGAGCCCGAAGTCAGTGACCCCGGCGCCCCCTCAGTGTCCGGCTTCGTTCCTGGCATAGCGGGCGACACAGCTGCGCCGTCGGCCAACGCTGGTGTCGCAGGCACGTGAGGTGGCTAGTCCGATCCCGTCGGCGCCTCCCGTATCGTTAGCATGAATCGTTCGAACTCCTTCGCGAGCGCCATCATCCTGGCCTCCCACTCAGCTATCGCAGCCCTCCACACGTGAGGCGGGTTCGGTTTTTATCGTCGTCCGGGTCGTCCTCCTCCTGCGGAGGTGCCCCTCCATCCAGGTCCTCCGGAGGAGCGACAGCCTCCAGCCCCGATGGGGGCACCACGTCTGCATCGCTGCTGTCGGCCGACGAGCCCGCTGATACGTTTTTCTTCTTAACAACTTTCTTTGACATGTCGGCGCGGTTCTTTAATTACTTCTGACGTCAGTTGTAGTGCTCGACCTGACACGACAGCTTCTTGCTTTTCTCTCTCTTTATTTCACTAAAACCGATCAACATTCCTCTAGCTAACACCAATCAACATTCCTCCCTCGCGCTCGCCGCTCACTCACCGCGTTCCGCCGGCCTCTGCTCGCTCCGCGTCTCTTCTCCGTCGACTCTCCTCCCCACTCTCTCCGTTACAGTTCAGCCACTCTTTATTGGCTCCCCCATCACACTCAGCCGTATCTCATCGGCTTCTCCGCCATACTCCAACCGCTTTCTGCTGGCTTCGTCGTCACACTCCAGCCGCTTCTGCTGGCTTCTCCGTCGCTAACTTATACTTCTCCGCTGCTACCCTATACTTCTCCACTGCTTCTGGCTCCGCTGCTTCAGCTCCAACATCCTTCTTCTACTCCCAGGCGGGAACTCTCGTCTCCTTCAAAACCCCCTCTCTTTATCCCCAAGCCAATTAATCTCCAATTAATCGGTGGCATCCCCCGCAACGCCCCTCGCCCCCCAGCCCCCGCTGGCACCTGCCACGTTTTCCAGACAACACGGCGCCACTTAGCGACAACAACAACTTCCCGGCCAATCAGCGCCCTGTGTCCTTTATCGCCCCTACCCGTCTCTGGCCTTCTCCTCACGCCTAACGACAATAACAACCTCGACCTCGTTTGCTCCCACTGTACTTTGCACGCGTGTACACCCACTCCCGCGTGTGGCGCGTATTTCAGGCACTACACTTGCACTATCAGCTAATTAATCTTATACAGGGCCGGATTAAGGTTCTTGTAGGCTTTATGCACTTTTGTTTCGTACACCTTCAGTGATAACTTCCTACAGTTCGTACTGCTGCTGCCTCATGTTACTTCCGCCGCTTCACTTGCTTGATTGTGCGAAACACACCATGTTAAGATGTTATTTGCTTATTTTGCAATGAAAAATCTAGAAAAGTTCATCTCCGGTGTTAATTACTCTCACCTTATGAACAAAAACCGATTGACATGACTTCCTCTTTGTATATACACTGTGCCTATCCTTGCTATAAAAATATATTTATTCATGAATATATTTTGGTTAAATTTTGTTGTTTCTACAAACAAAAAAACATGCTCACATTTTTTTTGGAAAGCCCTTGAGTTTACGTAGACCATAGGCACAGTGCCTACTTTTTTTTATTGGATAATACAGCCCTGATCTTATAGTCACTGTGAGTAGCGATTCAGTAAAAGTCGCATATGATTGAAACGTCACTGGCCATAGTATGTGTAGCCACGCTGCATGTTTTAATTAACCATGTTGATTGGTGTAATTGTTGTTGTAGCAAGGACTGCAGGATTGTGCTGCCATTGCCCAGCGGTTCAACATCGATGGAGCCAGGTTTCTGGTAAGGCACGGATACAATTCCACACTTATTTGAGCACATGGCCGCCAATAGAGAACTTGTGTGAGAAATTGGTTGCATTTTGCGTGGCCAAAACGTCAGCGAGTGCATGTGCAGTGGCTATCAAGGGGCCCGGGGTACGAAGAGGTGGACGGGCCCATGCCAGCCATGCTTGGCCCCAGGCCCAGAACCAGGTGAATCAGGGCCGGCGCTAGGGGCGTGCTGGGCTTTGCCCTGCACCACCAAATGTCATTTTTGGCTCATCCAGGTTTACTATTATTTGTGGCATAGTGGCGCACACAACCGCTCGGTAGTCCCCAAAATCCCAGAGGAACTGGAGTCAGGCCTGCAAGTGAACGATTTATTTTGCTGATTATTTGAGTACTTTATACTGTTGGCACAGCACTCTGCATTTGTTATGCAGGTACAAACTAACACGCTTTCTGTTGGTCAAGCGTAATAGTGTTTCCTTTTCAAACAATCAATGAGGCAGACCTCATCTATATTTGGTAACCCAGAACCTGTGGTTGAAATTTTACATTCCGATTATAGGGGCCAGTTTTGCATAAAAGGACTATTCTTGACTTCCCACAAAGTAGTACTTCTTTTTATCAGCCATGGAGGAATTTTTGGCTGAGTTTACACCTGATCAAGATGGGAATGTGTACCTGATTGTGAGCAGTGCCACCTAGCAGGAAAAGCAAACGCGCCAAGTTCAGCAAAAATCTGAGACGGAAGCATAGATGTCAATGAGAAAATGTGAATTAAACGTGGAGAGCAGAAGAGAATATAAATGTTTTTAGTCGATTGCCAAGGCCGACCAGACTTTAGTTGGCAGACTATTCCAGATGATATGAATATTCATGTGCATTTGAATAAATATCAAAGATCTTTATGGTGATTTGCACACACTGATACTGTTGAATAGCATATTTTGTGTGTGTTAACTTTCCTATGTGGACTACACTGTAGATGTTTGCTCCCTGTTCATGTTTGTAGTGTTGGCTGTAGAATATTGTTTGGTATTAATTTATAGATTTTGGTGGTCATTTTTCTTATCTGCTTATATGCTCTTCCACGTTAGTCATGGGAGTTGTTTGGCCATACTTCACCACGTTGTTCTTGGTGGGTTGGTGAAGTCGGGGGGGGGGGGGACCCAGAACTAGTTCAGATATCAACTCGCCACTGATGTCAACACAGTGTGTGAACCACTGCACCACCACTCAAATTAATTATAATGATTATGTGCATCACACGCTTTACTCTGACATTGTATTACAAGTGCAAGTGAAATTCTATTGCTGTATATGGTTAATGGTACCATTCACCATGCACGTGGTGAGGTTTTTTTTAAATTGACGAATTCACATTAAACCTCTGCTTGTCACACGAAGTGGGGCCTGATTTCCACGTAATGCAGTGCATGGGTGCTTTCATCAGACGTAGTGAGAAGTGACTCATCCAACCACATCAGTTGTTACACTTATTTGTCTCGTGACACAAAGCATTGGACATGCGTCATACCGTATTATGACAGCAACACCCAGTTAGGTTATGTATATGTGTACATGTATATGTGTAAAGCCTTTTTGTCAATCCACTGCTGGATTAGGGCTTCCCCACATCGTGCGAGTCATGGGGGTTAATTTGATCCTACTTCACCACGCTGCTCAATGTGGGTTTGTGAAGGTGGAGAGCATATAGGTTTAAGCAGAGTACAGTACAACAATGGATGTTTTTGCAGTCCTCCACTGACAATGTAGCCTTGATACGAGATAATAGGCTACCCTAAATCAAAGTGTCTTTTTGCTCACACGAGCAATGTGACAACACTCACCTCTGTTCGTGGCCCTGAGCCAGTTGTATAAATGGCACAATCTCATGGCGAGAGCCATGGAATAATCGATATTGACTTCCCATGAAAATGGAACAAATCTTTTTTGCACCTTTGAGAGATAATAACATTTAGTGGAATTCCAACTAGGATTTCACTCTGTGCCTTTGGATTGTCAATTACACGCTCTGCATTAGTTCCACCGTGCCGACAAAGGTCACAAATACAGGCACGTCTTACAGATTCACACATCAACTAGAGCAGGGGTCGGCAATCAAAACAAGAGCCATTTTTTGGGGAATTCAGTAAAACCCCCAATATTTCAAGAGCTGCGATGCAATTGAATACGAGTTGGTGGTCCTTAATAAATAATGTCACGAAGCAGTATTGAATGAACCACATGCATGCTCCTCAACCGCAGGTTGCTGACCACTGCCCATGATAAACTGAACTCTCATGGTGAACTGGACTTCTGTGGTCGGGGGTCAGCAACCAAAGTAACATAGAGGGCTCATTTTTTTCGAATTTCAAGAGCCTCACTGAAATCGTTAAAGAGCTGCATGCGGCTCCAGAACCGCAGGTTGCCAACCCCTAAACTAGAGCAGTGGTTCCCAACCCGTGGTCCGTGAACCCCTGGTGGTTCGTAAGGCTATGACAGGGGAGGGGGGGGGGCACAGAAAAGAAATAGAATCACATCAACGCCAAGGAAATGTCCAATTTCAAATAACTACTACCATGTGGTGGTCCCTTGAAATGTTTATAGGTTGAAAAGGGGTCCACACACTTGAAAAGGTTGGGAACCATGGAACTGAAGCATTTGAGTTGTGTATCGTCCTCCAGCTATGTCGCCTGGAGTCTTGTTCTCCTGGTAGGGTCTTCCTTGGCGAACAGGTCTTGAGGGAGGTCCAGACAAATTAACCTTATGGCGGGACCCTAGGTTCCCAAATAAACGGAAGTCAAAATCGTAAATAATTAATTTATTTTTGGCGACTCCGTCCCACCGCACACATAAATGCCGCGACCCACCTGGCGTGGATCATTCTGTTGTCATGTCATCCAAGTGCAGCGAGGACGAATGCGCAGAAGAAACAAAACTTTGAAACTTTGATTAGCACATCGTGTAGAGCTCGTCGAGAGGAATATATTGATGTATCGTCTGCCTTCAACAGACATAGAATGACGTCGCAACGCAGTTTGTGTGAGAGCCGGGGGCTTATGGGACGCCGGGGTCCCGCCATAAGGTTCAAATAATGCTCCACAAAAAATCACTTCATGAATGACAAAAAATACAAAGATCAGAACCTCCCCCAGGCAAGGGATACCGGGACACACACCTGGAGCCAGGCCTGGGGGTGGTGTTCGCAGGAAAGCGCCAGGTGACCCACGTAACCTGGTCGGGCACAGCCCTAAATGGCTACGTGGCACCATCCCGTGGGCCCACGATCCGCAGGTCAAATGGTGAGTGGCGGGTGCAATGGCAGTATGGCAGGGAGAGGGGTGGTTTCAGACAGACTCGATCTTGGCGATGGACACTAGCTATTGGGACGTGGAATGTCACAGCACTAGGGGGGAAGAAGCCAGAGCTTGTGGAGGAGGTGGAAAGGTATCGACTAGATATAGTTGGTCTCACCTCCACACACAGCATTGGCACTGGAACCAAACTTCTTGATCGGGGGTGGTCTCGCTCCTATTCTGGAATAACCCCTGGTGAGAGGCCCCGGGCGGGTGTGAGGATACTCACCTGCCCTCAGCTGGGTGCGGTTCAGTTGGAGTTTGTCCCATTGGATGAGGAGGTCATCTCAATGAGACTTCGGGTTTCAGAAAGGAAAACTCTCACTGGCGTCTGTCGTTATGCACCAAACAGCAGTTCAGAGTATTTGGCCTTCTTGAGGATGGTAGGTGCAGTGTTCGACAAAGTGCTGCCTACCGACTCCATAGTCTTACTGGGCGACTCAAATGCTCAAGTGGGAAATTATGGGGATACGTGGAGAGGCGTGATTGGGAGGAATGCCCACCCTTGATCTGAACCTGAACAGTGAGATGTTATTGGAATTCTGCACTCGTCACAGAATGTTGATAACACCATGTTCGAACTCAAGGATGCTCATAAGTGTACTTGGTACCAGAGCACCTTGGGCCGAAGGTCAATGATTGACTTTCTAGGTCAGTGATTGACTTTTTGCATCATCGGACCCAAGGCCATATGTTCTGGATACTCAGGTGAAGAGAGGGGCAGAGCTGTCAACTGATCACCACCTGGTAGTAAGTTGGATCCGACATTTGCGGCATCTACCAGATAGACTTTGTAGGCCTAATTGAATAGTGTGGGTTTTCTGGGAACATCTGGCAGAAGACCCAATGCAGAAAGATGCTCATATTGAAGTACAGTAATCCCTCGCCACTTCGCGGTTCAAGTTTCGCGGCCTCAGTGCATTGCGGATTTTTCAAAAATATTCATCGAAAAATAAAAATTCTAAAATACCGCCATATCGGCAGCCGTATTGCGGAAAGCAGCATTGTTTCATCGTGATGCGCGAGAGAAACGGTTTCCCAGGATGTCAGACAAAGAGAGAAACTCTCTTAGAGGCTTTGTACATACTGTACCCACGGGCACTCAGACAAGGCACGTGATTGGTTCCCGGCGCGAGATCGACGAATGTGAGCACGAGTGGATGTACAGTATCCCGTGAGCTGATTGGCTGCGCATCATAATACGTATCGTATGAGAGAGAGAGTGAATGTATAATATTAAGGTTTTATAATTAAAAAGATTTAAGTAAAATATATGTGAGTGAGTGAATGTATAATATTAAGGTTTTATAATTAAATAGATTTAAGTAAAAATATATATATAAAGTATAAATATACATATTTTAAACATTCTGGTACCCACACACACATATACGGAAATTCCTAGGGGGCCAATCCTACTTCGCGGATTTTCACCTATCGCGAGGGGTTCCGGTCCCCATTAACCGCGATAAACGAGGGATCACTGTATGCTCAAATAACACCCATGACTGATATAGCACGGGGAGACCTTTATTCGGCGGTGGATTGACGGACTGTAACCCCACTCGTTTTAATGTTAATAGCGTATCATTAATCATGTTGAATTAGCATTTTGAGCTGTGATAGCATTCAGCTTCATAACTCAAAATCGTCTAGTTAGGAACTGAGAAGGATGACGATGTGGTTAGAATGCTTAACGCAATCAGAATGCTGTGAATTCAGTTTCCAGTGAGGGGTCAAAGCAGCCTATCATCGTCGTCATCATCACCATCCCTCTGAAGTCAGTAAAATGAGTATCACTTTGAAAAACATAAGTAGCGGTTGTCCTATAGAGAACTGACCCTCACCATAGGGATGACAAATTTCCACCACTGTGTCAGGATGTCAGTGCTAAAAGATTGCTCACTTGAGCAAGGGAGATACTTTGATGCCTGACTTGATTTGAATTGGGATTTTTGCAAATTCCTTTTGTGTTGAGAATGTATAGGTCAATGATTGACTTTCTAGGTCAGTGATTGACTTTTTGCATCATCGGACCCAAGGCCATATGTTCTGGACACTCAGGTGAAGAGAGGGGCAGAGCTGTCAACTTATCACCACCTGGTAATAAGTTGGATCCGACATTTAGGGCACCGACCAGATAGACTTTGTAGGCCCAAATGAATAGTGCGGGTTTTCTGGGAACATCTGGCAGAAGACCCAATGCAGAAAGATTTCAACTTCCACCTCCGGGAAAACTTCTCCTGCACTCCAGGAGAGATCGTGGGCATTGAGTCCGAGTGGGTGATGTTCAGGACCTCGATTGTGGATGCAACTGCAAAAATCCGTGGCCTGAAGGCAGTTGGTGCCTGTTATGGCGACAACCCTAGTGTCCGCTGAGGGAACTTATCAAGTTGAAGAAGGAGGCTTTCTGAGCTATGCTTGAAAAAATGTCTCCCGACTCGATTGAGAGGTACTGACTTGCCAAGAGGGTGGCAGCTGCAACAGTCACTGAAGCAAAAGCCCTGGCATGGGAGGAGTTTGAAGAGGCCATGGAGAGCGACTACCGGGCAGCCTCAAAGATGTTCTGGCAAACCATCTGACACCTTAGGAGAGGTGGGACGTGCCCCCGGCCGTTTTCAGTAAGAGTGGTGGAACATTAACCTCGACTAAGGAGATAGTCAAGAGGTGGAAGGAACACTGTGAGCTCCTCAATTCGGGGAACATGCCCTCCTCTCAGGAGACAGCCCTGGAAACAGCTGGAGGGTTCGGATCCATCAAGGCTGCTGAAGTCGCTGCGGTGGTTGAGGGCCTTCATAGCGGCAAAGTTGCTGGGGTGGACGAGATTCACCCAGAGTTGTTGAAAGTGCTGGAGAGTGTAGGAGTGTCTTGGTTAACACGCCTCTTCAATGTTGCATGGAAATGCGGGTACAGTACCTCTGGATTGGCAAACTGGGGTCATGGTTCCCATTTAAAAAAGGGGACCAGAGGGTGTGCTCCAACTACACAGGAATCACACTCCTCAGCGTCCGAGGTAAAGCTTATGCCAGAGTGCTGGAGAGGAGGCTCCGCCCGGTGGTGAAACCTCAGATTCAGGAGGAACAATGTGGATTCCATCATGGTCGTGGAACAACGAACCAGCTCTTTTCCCTCTCACAGATATTTGAGGGGTCATGGGAGTATGCTTCTCCAGTCTACCTCTGCTTTGTAAACTTGGAGAAAGCATATTCTTTGGGTCTTTCGGTAAAGCCACGTAGATAGAAAAAAATACAAAAATCAAAATCATGACCTTTCGATCGCAAGACAAGCAATCGTCTTCAGGTGAAAAAGAGGGAAATCTGCTGAGACAGGCTGTTTATAAAGGTTTAGAGATGAGCGGGGCAATTAATGTTAATGTAGGAGCGAGTAGGAGAGAGCGAGTAGGAGAGATAAATTTGCTTGTAAATGTAAGCTCGGCGAGGGCCAAGCTCGGCTTGGAGAAAGCATATGATCATGTTCCCCACAATGTCTTGTGGGAGGTGCTGTGGGAGTATCATGTACCAGTGCCGCTTTTGTGCACTATCCGGTCCCTATATTCCCGGAGTGAGAGCTGTGTCCATATTCTTGGTGTTAAAACAAAGTCGTTCACTGTGGTTGTTGGACTCCGCCAAGGGTGCGTCTTGTCTCCTGTTCGTGATCTTCATGGACAGGATATCAAAGCACAGCCAAGGTATGGAGAGTATCTAGTATTGGGGCATGGAGGTGGCGTCGCTGCTTTTTGCAGATTATGTTGTCCTCGCTCTGTGATTTGCAGAATGCATTTGAACGGTTTTATGCCGAGTGTGAAGCAGCTGGGATGAGGATCAGCACCTCCACATCTGAGGTCATGGTTCACTCCCGGAAGACGGCAAATTGTTCTCTCCAAGTGAGGGGGAAATAGCTGCCCCTAGTGGAGGAGTTTAAATACCTGGGGGTCTCTTTCGTAAGTGATGGTAAGTGATAGCCGGATATCGGCCGGCGGATCGGTGCGGCATCCACAGTGTTGAGGGCACTGTACTGTTCTCGAACAAAGTTCTCGGTTTACAGGTCGATCTACATTCCCACCCTCCCCTATGGTCATTAGATTTGGGTAATGACCGAAAGAATGAGATCATGGGTACAAGGGGCCCGAAATGAGGTTTCTCCGCAGGGTTGCCGGGCTTACTCTCTGTGATCGGGTGAGGAGCTCGGTAATCCAGGAGAGCCTCCGAGTAGAGTCGTTGCTCCTCCGGATCGAGAAGAGCCAGTTGAGGTGGTTCAGGCACCTAGTAAGGATGCCCCCCGATTGACTCCCCCTGGAGCTCTATCTGACACATCCCACTGAGCGAAGACCCCGGGGCTGGCCCCGGACACGCTGACTATGCCGTCAACTGACCTGGGAACACCTAGGAATTCCCCAGAAAGAGCTAGAGTCTGTCCCCAGGGAAAAGGAGGTCTGGACTGTCCTACTCAACATGCTGCTGTTGTGACTCTCACCAGAACAGTCGGACTGAGAAACGAACGAACGAACAACTGTTAGCACAACGACCAGAATGTTATGAGCTATAGCCTTGATGTGTCATATATATGCATACGTGGAAATGCATATTGCGACTTTACACTTAACAAACCTTCGCTATTGTTATTGCATAAGGTTAGATTTTCTCAACTGCGGAATGTGATGAAGCTGGAATGGAGCAGTAATGCACTAAATTTAACACAAACATCTCTGTTTCAGGCTCTCAGCCACATGGACCTGCACAAGTTCCCCGTGAATTGCCAGCCGTAAGTGTGACTCCCAGCACCTGTGCTTGAAGCATTGTTTGTCAGTTCTAATAGGTAAAGGTGAAGCCCTGCAATTACCTGCTCACACCACTGTTAGCAGAGAGGGTCTCCACTAGAAGGGGCTCTGAAGAGCTCTGAAGAGCCCCGCTAGGAATCCTCGATTGCCAATAAACTGCCTGCCTAGTGTCAGGAAAAAGACAAATACTCCTTTGAGGTGGAGATTAAAGTCTTGCAACAGTCATCATGGGCTACTGGAATTACATCACACTTCTTGGGAACCACATACTGTATACAAAATAAAAGCTTCAGTGCTTGTTATGTCAGGCTACGGAGAGGCTTCGATCAAAGTCTTGTCAAATATTATTCTCCAATTATTTTATAATTTTGTAGTTTCAGAGCCATTTTACACCAAGCGGAAGTCGGCTGACAGTTTTTATTTTGCGGTTTCAGTTTATTTATTTTTATCAGTGGTGCAAGCAGTGGTTGTGTTTGTGTTGGCACACGCCGAGGTTATTCATTTCCACAGATGTTATTTGTACCCATAAACTTAGTATTTGTAAAAAAAAAATTTAACATGTGAAAAAAATGCTTGGACTTTGATTGCTTTAAAGATTAAAATAACAATAAACGGGCTAAATGTCAAGATGACAAGGTTCGTACATATTTAGAGCATTCAGCTGAATACACTCAATATTGTTGTTTTTCGTCAATATCAATAATGTTAAGAGTCAAGTCGTGGTGGCACACCAGGCCATGGCTAACATTAGTTTGCAAGTGATATCAAAACAGTCATGGGCACCTCCTTCACCAACCCACATTGACATATTGAAGTATGCTCAAATAACACCCATGACTAATAGAGCACGGGGATACCTTTATTTGGCGGTGGATTGACGAACTGTAACCCCACTCGTTTTAATGTTAATAGCGTATCATTAATAATGTTGAATTAGCATTTTGAGCTGTGATAGCATTCAGCTTCATAACTCAAAATCGTCTTGTTAGGAACTGAGAAGGATGACGATGTGGTTAGAATGCTTAACGCAATCAGAATGCTGTGAATTCAGTTTCCAGTTAGGGGTCAAAGCAGCCTATCATCGTCGTCATCATCACCATCCCTCTGAAGTCAGTAAAATGAGTATCACTTTGAAAAGCATAAGCAGCGGTTGTCCTATAGAGAACTGACCCTCACCATAGGGATGACAAATTCCCACCACTGTGTCAGGATGTCTTTGCTAAAATATTCCTCACTTGAGCAAGGGAGACACTTTGACACCTGATTTGATTTGAATTGGGATTTTTAGAAAATTCCTTTTGTGTTGAGAATGTATAGTTAGCCACATCGCCCCATCATCCCTCCAGGTTTAATAAAACAGGTACCACTCAGTAGTGAGAATTTCCCGATGGTTGCTCCTGTCACAGACTAGTTCCCACCATAAGGCCGCACTCTTTCCACCATTGGCTCAGGGTGACCAAGACAAGTGGGTGCTGGTTCAATGCCCGCATTAGCGCAAGGTTCCACTGGCGTTGTACGAGGCTTTCGCCAACGTGTCTCGAAATGCGGCTGACTTTGTGGTTTCGCTCGATAACTTTGTATCCGTTTGTGTGCACTCATCCCTCTGCAGCTGTGCTTTCTTCCTCTTTAAAATAAAATAAAAACAAATGGTCAAACAAGTTTTTCGCTTGCAGAAAAATGGCGAAACGTTCCATCTTCATAATGTCCCTAATTTATTAAAAAAATGATTGGAGAGGTTCGCACAGTGCTCTATTAGAACGATGACCTAAGTTTGATTTCCGCCCATGGCTAACACAGTGGCGAGTGATATCTGAACCTGTCCTGGGCCCCATCCTCCTTCGTCAACACAATGACCATCACAGTGAAGTATGGTCAATTAACCCCGTGGGGCAGGCCTTCATCACTTAGTGGACTGATGAAAGTCTGTACATATAATAGTGATAATACTGTATTTTATGTTTCACCCGCTAAGAACATTACTCTATAACCCCATTTTAAAAAGAGTAAAATATGAATACAGTGTTGTCTCTTGCTTAGGCAGATCTCATTGAGTCTCAAGACCTTTATAAGAAGGCAATGCATTGCAGCGTCAAGCTGGGTTTCACTGGAGTTAAAGTTCTTGACTCTTAATTCAAAGGTCACCAGTTAAAATAATTGGCTGGAGGTCGATTCAACCTATAATCCCTCACTAGTTTCTGAAATTAATAACACATTGCGGGAAGTCCACAGTGGTTGTCCTTTGGATAGACTGGCCACTGTTCAGGGAATGTGGAATGTTGCCAAAATATATAAACATTGCCCTAATGACAGTTAAATTTCGATTGAAAGCTTGCGTGACTGCAGGGATTCATCTTCTTGGTTCTTTCGGTAAAGTCACGTCTTTCCGACAGACCTGTTCTTCACCCGAGGACGGCTGCTTGTGTTGTGGTCAGAACGTTGTGAGAATTGTATTTTATTCTGTTTTATTTTTATTATTTTATTATTTCCCTACTACGTGACTTTACCGAAAGAACCAAGAAGATTGCCCTAATGCTCATCTGTTGCGTTTCATGGAGCACTGGCCGATGTAGATGTTTAAAGTTTGCAATGGATTAGTCTACAGAAACGTTATGTTCTCTTTCATACCACATAGTCCAACTAGGTTTTAAAGTTTAATGAGCTTTATGGTCTATGCCCTACCAATAGCTGTACAAAAACACACGCATCTGATCTTTTATTTATATGATGCCATAACCAATGTTGCGAGTTCACGTGAACTAATCTATTAACCCCAACATTGGGATGGACGTCCTCTATGGCACGTTCTCTCCTTTGCTGCTATTCTGTCACCAATCTCCCCTTCGCTATTTCCCAGCTATGTGGTCTGCCCAAGCGCACTAACATTTTGAAGTCAATAGTATGTCTAACTTTTGTTCCTCTTCCTGCCTATTTGTCTCATATTAAGAAACCATCTTCCCATGCTTCTTTGCACACTTTCCAACCCAATATATTATAATTTCCTAAATTAAGTCTTATAGAAAAAGCACATTTAAATTAAATATCTGCCCAGGTGGCTCCAGCAGTAAAGCGATCAGTAGGAAGGTTGATAGCCCATTAGCCCTCCACGGTTGATAAAAACAAGTACCACTTTGTAGGTAAGTCAACAGTGTTTGTCCTATGAATAATCTCATCCACATGATATGAATGAGGATTTTCCACCACTGGCACAGGGCTGTAAACTGGGGATATGCACTGGTGTAGAGTATTGGCTGCTATACATTTCCACGTGATAAGCCACTTCGTTGAGCTATCATTTGTAGCCAGGTCGCTTCTGAAAAAGAGCTATATAGCTCAGTGGGCCTTAACTGGTAAAATAAAAAAAAGTTTCGTTTTTAGTGTAATGCTCATTTGAGCAGGAAAGCACTTTGACTTTTCACCAAGTTATGCCTATCTCAGCTGGGGGTCTATAATGTGTATATATTTTCTGTTAAATGACACAAGGCGAACCGCACTTGACAGCATGAATTCGCACTGCGTGTGTTGAGAGAGATTTGTCAATGTAATTGACTGCAATAGTAGTTCTGTGGTGTTGACATTTGGGGTGGTTCCGTGACAGGAAGTGAGGGCTTGCTGACTGGACGAGTTATAAAATAATTTTCTTCATTTCGTGGCTGACAGTGGTAGAGTTTGTAGTAAACTATAAGTAAAAATTGTGTCGGTATATTTTTTAGGGGTTATATTGCCTGTCTTGAAGTGCGGTCGCATTCGGACACACATCTCAATATTATGCAGTAATATAATCTATTGTATTTACCTGCTCCCTATTTGATCGCAAAGTGTGTTCATCAGCAAGATAGTTAAACGTGTAATTTTTTTGAAAACGTGTCTTTATGCAGACAGATATTCAAACTCTCACAGGACATCAACAAATTGGACCCAAAGGGAAAGTGGAAAGTTGTGGCTGAATTAACAAAAAGGTACGTTTTTCTCTCTCTCACTCTGCAGCATTAGTACAGCAACACATGTACATGTGCAGTGTGTACCATCGCTTTCCATGGGATTAGTATTTACTGTGTGTATTCCTAGAACAGTGATTCCCAACCCGTGGTCCAGAGATCACAGGTGGCTGATGACGCAGTGGCAAGTGGTTTGCAGCACTGTTGCCGATGCTACGGTTTGGAGTAATGTTGACGCGTTTAATGTTGACACGTACTGTATGCTTTTCGTGCACGGCGTTCCAGAAAGGTTGGGAACCACTAGCCTTCGGATGAGGGCAACTCATGTAGCAAGACCTCATTCAAGGGGGGGGGGTCATACATAAACCAAGGGGGACGACACAGAGCTAAACAAACTTTAAACGAATGCCATTACTAGAACGGCATTTGTCTGTCATGCTGTATGAGAAATATTGTACCAACATTGTTTGAATTGACTATCAGAAATTAAAAAGGGGGACTGGGCCTTCAACCGGGGATGAGGGATCGGGGTAGGACTTGGGGCGTGCGATTTGATTGGCCTACCAGAAAGTAACGGAGGAAATAATGTACACTATTAGAAATCAGACGTGATTGAGGTGCGTCATTGTTTCTGGCAGGTTCCAGGTGTCTCCCACTGACATGTGGCAAACGGGAAAGGAGAAAATGACACGGTAAGGATGGCAGTGCTTTGTGCAATCGGTGCTTCGCATAGGGCAGCTCTGCATCTTGCTATATGGTAGGTGGTGGCCTTGAAACAGCTGATAATTCATGAAAGCTCATCTCAACAAAATGTGTTCTTTTGTAGGGACCGACCGTTAAACAGATGAAGTGAGGCAATTATATGGTTCATTGTATGGTTCATAATGTGGGTATATGATTAGAGGAGGATTGTCAAGTATGTTCATGAAACTAGAGTGGGTTATCTTTTTTTTAAGGCGGATTGTTATCTTGATTTGAAGCTTTCGTGACTGCAGGAATCCATACTCTTTGGTTCTTTCGGTAAAGTCACGTAGGTATAAAATCAAATAAACTGTTTTAAAACAGTCTGCCTCAACAGCAGACCATGCTTTCCCACCTGATGACGGACGCTTGTGTTGCGCCCGAAAATTCGTGATTTATTTTATTTTATACCTACGTGACTTTACCAAAAGAACCAAAGAGTGCAGAATGTTATGTTTGTCTAGACCAGTGGTGACCAATCCACTGAGCACTGCGATCCACCGCGCCGTACGTTGCCAACCGCGCTAATCGGAGGTGCGCGGGAAGGACAACAACAAACCAAACACAATAAGTAATATTTCAAAAACTTTTTTTTTAAACACGCTTTAATGAAATGTACCGTACGAGTAATGGCAAAACTCCACGACTCCAGGAAGTGGCCCCGAGGCTTGCCACAACGTAAGGGGCCGTTGTGATTTACAGCCAACGTCAGTTGAGCGTGGACAATTAGACCCAAACCGAAACATAAGATTTAAAAAAGATTGCTTACATTCTTTTTTTCAATGATAGAATATAGTATTGTCACCGGTATGACATACGTTTACCATGTTTGCAGTCGATACCACATTGGGAAGTGGGTTAAAATTTAGTTACAAGATTTTAGGATAAAACAACTGCCAGAGTTGAGGGTACAACAACTTCCAGAGTTGAGGATACAACAACTGTCAGAGTTCAAGATACAACAACTGCCAGAGTTGAGGATACAACAACTTCCAGAGTTGAAGATACAACAACTTCCAGAGTTGAGGATACAACAACTGCCAGAGTTGAGGATACAACTGCCAAAGTTAAGGGTACAACAGACAGAGTTAAATAAAAGCATGTAAATAAAAAAACATCCTAATCCCAAACGGTGTTAGACCAGAGGACGCGGTCTAACACCTTTTGAGACGAGGCTCAAAAGAAAGCTGTCTCTGGTGTGGGCCAATCAGTTTCAAAGACAATGCATATATATATAATCAGAGTATGTTTTTTTTACATTCTGACCACAAGTATTGTGGTTAATGCAGACATGATTCCTTATAAAAGGTTTCAGTTTGGTGTTTTAACATCTTAACACCTGTTTTGTTGCCAGAAAAAAGGGGAAATCCTATTCTCATCTTCCGTGTAGTCGAACAGACTGTTGGGACAAGTTGTGTTAATGATTGCCTATGAAGAAGGCCAGCAATGCACACGAGGGGGTGGATGGCCAGTACCACGCTCGGCCGTCTTTGTCTCCCCGGTGGCGATGTTTACACACCGCACCAGGTACTGTCATAATTTAAGATGGAGTCGACCTAGGGGAGGCCCAGGACTGTGTTCGTAGCGCAACGCGCTAACCAGTACACCAACGCCCCCCATTCATGCGTGTACCCACACGCATGCACATGCATTCATATGGACACACGCATGCATGAACACACATGCACAAATACAGTGAGGGAAAAAAGTATTGATCCCCTGCTGATTTTGTACGTTTGCCCACTGACAAAGAAATGATCAGTCTATAATTTTAATGGTAGGTTTATTTGAACAATGAGAGACAGAATAATAACAACAAAATCCATAAAAACGCACGTCAAAAATGTTATAAATTGATTTGCATTTTAATGAGAAAAATAAGTATTTGACCCCCTCTCAATCAGAAAGATTTCTTGCTCCCAGGTGTCTTTTATACAGGTAACGAGCTGAGATTAGGAGCACACATTTAAAGGGACTGCTCCTAGTCTCAGCTTGTTACCTGTATAAAAGACACCTGTTCACAGAAGCAATCAAGGCTGGAATGGGCTACAAGACCATCGCCAAGCAGCTTGGTGAGAAGGTGACAACAGTTGGTGCGATTATTCGCAAATGGAAGAAACACAAAAGAACTGTCAATCTCCCTCGGCCTGGAGCTCCATGCAAGATCTCACCTCGTGGAGTTGCAATTATCATGAGAACGGTGAGGAATCAGCCCAGAACTACACGGGAGGATATTGTCAATGATCTCAAGGCAGCTGGGACCATAGTCACCAAGAAAACAGTTGGTAACACACTACGCCGTGAAGGACTGAAATCCTACAGCACCTGTAAGGTCCCCCTGCTCAAGAAAGCACATATACATGCCCGTCTGAAGTTTGCCAATGAACATCTGAATGAATCAGAGGACAACTGGGTGAAAGTGGTGTGGTCAGATGAGACCAAAAATGGAGCTCTTTGGCATCAACTCAACTCGCTGTGTTTGGAGGAGGAGGAATGCTGCCAATGACCCCAAGAACACCATCCTCACCGTCAAACATGTGTAATGCGAGCAAGGATTGAGGGGGGGTGGAGTCTGGGTCACGTGGGGAGTGGGTGGAGTTAGGGTCACGTGAGGGAGAGGATTTAGGGAGAGAACCGGAAGGGGAAGGGGGAGTTGAGACGGAGTGAAACACGAGGAGGCCACGCTGGGCAAGACGGAGAGAGTGGCGCGGTCGCCACGCGGTGGGAGACGTCGACATCATCAGCCATCGGTGTCAGACGAAGAGAGCTAACAGGGCAGTGAGAGGCTAGCTGTGTAAAGGGCAGCGGTGACGCTAGACAGCGGGGCAGCGGTGTGGCTGCAAGGATTGCCTGACGGAGCAGCAGGGAGACTGCATAACGGAGCAGCCGAGGGCTGTGGAGAGGTCGTCGGGTGGGACGCGGACCTGAGCGAGACGCCGTGGTATCGAGTTTCTACGAACCCAATAAAGGACAACGGAGATCGACATCTGAGAGAGAGTCCTTTATTACACATGGAAGTGGAAACATTATGCTTTGGGGGTGTTTTTCTGCTAAGGGGACAGGACAACTTCACCGCATCAAAGGGACGATGGACGGGGCCATTTACCGTCAAATCTTGGGTGAGAACCTCCTTCCCTCAGCCAGGGCATTGGAAATGGGTCGTGGATGGGTATTCCAGCATGACAATGACCCAAAACACACGACCAAGGCAACAAAGGAGTGGTTCAAGAAGAAGCACATTAAGGTCCTGGAGTGGCCTAGCCAGTCTCCAGACCTTAATTCCATAGAAAATCTGTGGAGGGAGCTGAAGGTTCGAGTTGCCAAACGTCAGCCTCGAACCCTTAATGACTTGGAGAAGATCTGTAAAGAGGAGTGGGACAAAATCCCTCCTGAGATGTGTGGAAACCTGGTGGCCAACTACAAGAAACGTCTGACCTCTGTGATTGCCAACAAGGGTTTTGCCACCAAGTACTAAGTCATGTTTTGCAGAGGGGTCAAATACTTATTTCCCTTATTAAAATGCAAATCAATTTATAACATTTTTGACATGCGTTTTCTGGATTTTGTTGTTGTTATTCTGTCTCTCATTGTTCAAATAAACCTACCATTAAAATTACAGACTGATCATTTCTTTGTCAGTGGGCAAACGTACAAATTCAGCAGGGGATCAAATACTTTTTTTCCCTCACTGTACATACGCATTCACATATACACGCACACATACTTAGCTGCAAACGTACACAAACTTGAATACATATGTACAAAGACAAAGATCCCCCGTAAAGCCTTGCCAGACTGTTAGGGCAAGTGCTGTAAGCGAACACCCATGAAAGCCGGCACCGTACACGAGGGAGTGAGTGGCCAGCACCATGCTCGATGCTTCCACACCGCACTCGGTACTAATTTGAGGCTGAGTTGACCTAGGGGAGGCCCAAGACCGGTTCAGATAATCTTCGCTGTTGTTGCACGTGGGCGGGAATCAAACTCGTGTCACTGGGTTCGTAGCACAGCGCGCTAACTGCTGCACCACCGCTCCCCCAACATATGTACGCACCAAATTTAGCCAGACACACCATGGAGCATCTACTATAAGCGCCCAGTGAAGGCTGCCTCGATATAAAAGGCGGTGGTGTGACCCACGCCATGCCTGGCCGTCTTTGTCTCCCCATTGATGATTTTTCTTTTTGACACTGCAGCAGTTATTTAGTGAAGGATACGCCAACCATGGGAGATATCAATGCTGATGGTATCCCATGGTCAGGAATCGAGCCCAGTTTGCAGGGGATTGCGGCACATGTGAACCACTGACAAAGACACACAAAGAGACACCCCGTACTGTATAGACTTGTTATTAGCGAGCACCTGTGAAGGCCGGCATGGCACATGAGGGGTCGGTGTGGGCAACCTTGCCTGCCTTTGTCTTCCCACTGCTGATGTACACACACTGCACCAGGTACTACCGTTGAGTCGTCCAGGGGGAGGCTCAGGACTGATTTACACATGTGTAAAGGGGGAGCCGACACCAGATTGCAGGGGTCTCGTCCTTTATTCCTTTCCTTCCACCCACACCTGTCCCCAGCCGTCCCAATCTCGTTCCCGCCAAAGGCCCCTTCTTCCCACCCGTTCTCTCCTTATATCTCCTCGATCACCTCTCCCACTAACCCATCTATTGGTGGGAATCCCTCCCCTGACACCCCTACATCACCCCCCCCCCCCCCCCCCCCCGGAGAAAAAATAACCGTCCTCGGTTCTGCCTCCCCCATGGACCATTTAAATCTCCCCATGCCTCCCACCACTGACAGTGACGACAGCCCTTCCCCCCCCCCCCCCCACAACCATACTATGCAACATAACACAACGAAATCAATTGCGCGGCCTGCCCAGGTCTCCAGCCAGCATCCCGTAACAGCCCGGACATCCACAGGCAGCAGATGACCGTGGCGGCCCCCTC